CAAAGAGCAGCCACAAAAGAGCACTAGTCTCTAAGATACAGTGAGGCAAGCAAGCCCTATGGCAAGTGAAGAAGCCTGTCTGTTAATAGCTCAACAGCAGTAACAGCTATAAATTCAATCTAGCACGTTCCAATCAAATCTGTTGTGATCTCGAGCCCTTTGGGCCCCTTGTTGGCACCAAAAAGAACAATTGTGGTTCAACCTCAGCTGGAAACTAAGCCCCACACACCTACTTCCTCTCTTCCACCCTGTGAGATGGGGGAGAGAATCAGGAGAGTAAGAGTGAGAAAACTCATGGGTTGAGGTAAAGACAGTTTGATAGGTAAAGCAAAAGCTGAACACACAAGCAAAGCAAAACAAGGAATTCATTCACCACTGTCCATCATCAGGTAGGTGTTCAGCCATCTCCAGGACATCAGGGCAACATCACAATTAATGATTACTTGGAAAGGCAGATGCCATCACTCTGAACATAGAATTATGGAATAGTTAGGGTTGGAAAGGACCTTAAGATCATCTAGTTCCAACCCCCCTGCCATGGGCAGGGACACCTCACACTAATCCATGTCACCCAAGGCTCTGGACAACCTGTCCTTGAACCTCACCAGGGATGGAGCATTCACAACCTCCCTGGGCAACCCATTCCAGTGCCCCGGCACCCTTACAGTAAAGAATTTCCTCCTTATATCCAATCTAAACTTCCCCTGTTTAAGTTTTGACCCATTACCCCTTGTCCTGTCACTACAGTCCCTAATGAAGAGTCCGTCCTCAGCATCCCTATAGCGCCCCTTCAGATACTGGAAGGCTGCTATGAGGTCTCCACACAGAACATCACATCCCCCCTTCCTTCCTTCCTTCTTCCCCCAGCTTTATATGCTAAGCATGACACCATGTGGTGCGGGATATCCCTTTGGTCAGTTGCGATCAGCTGTCCTGGCTGTGTGTCCTCCCAGCTTCTTATGCAACCCCAGCCTGCTCACTGCTGGGGTGGTGAGAAGGCAGAAAAGGCCTTGGCTCTGTGTGAGCTCTGCTCAGCGGTAATGAAAACATCCCTGTGTTATTTCAGCACAAATCCAAAACACAGCCCCATACCAGCTACTATGAGGAAAATTAATTCTACCCCAGGAAACCCAGCACACTGAAACCACAGCCTTGGTGTCTCAGATGTATATCTGCGCTGGTGAGCAAAAGGTTTTGAGATCATCTGAGAAATCAAATATGCTCCTTTGTTTCTCATGGTCTCCTGTCTCAGTTAATGAAAAGGCTTTTAACAGATTTCAGGAATTAATTAAGGGTCTTCCTGGCTGTGATTTGAATGATGTTGAAGTCTTTTGCTCCTGGCTTTTACAGCAACGGGTTTAGTCATGTCTTACAAATGAAAGGCAAGTGCAAAATTCTCCTATATGATTTCCTTCTCATTTCTTTTTATAAGCTCCTGTTTGTTCTTATTTATGCAGTAAAAAAAGACCTGTTAGTGAGGAGTTAAAATGATACTATGAAATGTCATGTGCTTTGCTCCATCGCCTTCCTAGGTTATAAATAACACAGCAAATTTCTCTTTCCTTTCCAGTATTACTGCCTTGTGGTGGTCTTGTGATGAGGTGTGTGGCGTTCTGCAAGTTTAAATGGAGCAAAGAAGAGTCAAAGGCTCCAGGTGTTCTGCTCGCATAGCAGCTGTTCCAGTAGCAGAAAGTCAACCTGTTTCTTTAGTTGTGATCTTAGGAACATTTTCCTGTTTCTGTAGCCACTGACCCCCGTGGCTGGACCTTTGTGGGTCAGAGGAGGCTCTGTGTCAGAGGCAGGAGAGATGGGGCAGTGTGCTGCCTTTCCATCCCATGACTGCCAGGCCCTGCAGGAGGGTCCCAGGGAGTTCCCCAGAGCCTGGGTGCAATGTAAAGACATAATCATGACTGGAAACAGCTGGGAAGTGGTGGGAAGGCTTGCTCATCATCAGCCGTTCTTTGGATTAAAGAGGATGTCACTGCAAAAGTGTTTGGCCACCTGGCTTCCTCCCGCAAAGTATGCCTGTATTTCTGGTTGGGAGGGGGCAGCCCAGCTCTGATGTGTCACCTTGCAGCAGTGGCAGAGGTGCTCTCCTTCCACAGAGAGGCAGAGTTGTGGGCAGAGCTGTCTGCAGCATCCAGATGGTCCCAGAGGTTAACCCCTGCTGAATTCCCAACACTTCCTGCTGCCTCAAAGTGTATTTGGGGCATATTTGTTTGCAGCAAGGTAAGGAACAAGTAAAGAAAACCTCAGCTTTCTGTCGATAAGTGGCTGTCGGTCTTTGCTGTGAACAGGCTGCGTGTCTCTGAAGTGGCCTTTTGATGGAGGCATCCGTAGGTTAGGAGGGCTTGTCTGGTTTTTGCTATTCTGCTGCAGTCTCCCAGCACAGGGTCCCTCAGGTGTGGAGGTGCTTGAATGAGGCTTTGCACCATCAGATGCTATTAAAAATGCTGATTTAAAAATTTTTTTTTCATGTATTCCTGAGGGTCAGAAATGTTCCTGATGCCGGGAGTGAGCCTGAAATAACCCGGGAGAGCATCCCTGGTGGAAAAATCTTTACTTGACCCAGAATTCATGTGCTCTTTTCTTATTGCCTACTGTTGTGGACCCCGGCCAAAGTGGGTCTGACTAATCTTTGCCTGCCACAGATCTGAGATGTGTTGGGAACCACCTCTTCTCTCTTTTTTGTCTTTTCCTTTTGAAAACTGAAGTGAAAGTTCATCAACCTGCGCAGTTAAATGAGAGCTCCGCCAGCCAAATGAGGAAGTAAAACCTTCCCGTAGAGTTCTAACCTGCTCACTGCACTTGTTTGCTCTCAGTTGACATCAGCCTCACCATAAAGCCTCTAAATACGGGCTGATGACTTCCTTGTGAGCCCGGTACTGTTCTGAATTCAGCTTCTGGCTCATAAATGGTGGGACAACATTGCTGGGATGCAGAAGGAGCAGCTGCAGGTAAGGTGCAGGGCGAGTGGGGCTGCCTACGTGCACAGGATGAACTCCGGGGGCTTGGCTTTGTTATTTTTGGCTAATGCAGCAGGTAAGGTGAGGAAGAAACAGGTGAATCTTTTCTTAGTCATCAGGATATGAAACCACTGGTCTTGTTTTGAAGAGTCTGTGTGCATCTCTAGTTTGTGAGTAAAAATTGCTGTTTTTCTGAAAGCAGAGCAGCCCATCTTCTGTCAGAGAGGCAGCTCATGGAAGGGCTCTAATGGGCTGGCAGACTCAGGTGGTTTACAGCGTGATTCTTAGGGACAGAGGAGGTAGAAGAGGTGGCCCACACCTATGGTGTGAGGGGGAACACTGCCAGGGCAGGGAGCAGTTGCTGTGCACCTGGTGCACAGCCTGGTTTAGAGAAGACCCAAACCTGCCCGGCCTTGACCATTACCAGGTCTGCCGGGGGCCATGTCCCCGCTGCCTCTGCTCAGGCAGGACTGGGCTGTGGTGGGGCTTTGAGGAGCTCCACACCCCTCTGTGGTCTGAGGCTGTTGGAGTGGAAGTGCTGCTTAAACACATTCCTGCGGGGCACCTGGCCCTGCTCAGGTGGTTCCCAAGTGGAGGAAACTCCTGGAGGAAGACTAGGCAAGAATTGTTCTTTAACGTCATTCAAGATGAGGAATTAGAATGTAATCACTGCTTTTACCACTACTTACACCTGAAAGTTATAAGGCTACGTACAAAAGTAAAGGTCAAAGTTGTATAAGGTGGGGTTATAACTAATTACCATGTTTTCCTGCTGAACTAATCAGTTTTAAATTTAGTGAACCCAATGCAGGTTTATTCCCCAGAGCTCAGGGAGTGGGGAGGGAGTTCTTAGTGCCTCGGTGTGCCAGATGATCTGGGAAGGAGAGCCAGTGCAACGTGGTCATGGCCCCTGGCTTGTCATGGAGGTAGTTGTTTGGTCAATTAATTCTGCGTCATTTACTGACCACAAACAGTGAAGGGAAGAGGGCACCCTTACGTGCTACACGTGGGTAGATGAGCCAGCCACAGCTTTTTCATATGGCACCAATAATTGTACAGATGTGGCAAGAGGAGCTTTGGCGCAAGTATGCCAACAGTGTCCAGAGAAATTTGGCTTGATGGATGAGTGGTCACTGTGTATGTCCTTCTCTTATCACGCTTGCTGGGCTGAGGCAGCTCTGAGTATGTCTGTATATGCTGCCCATCACCTTCATTTACTGCTTAGACCAGAAATGCAAACAGTGCAGCTCTGGAGAAGCTTCAAGCAGCTTTCTGCTACTTCTGTACACTCATTTCTGAATTATCAGACTATAAACGTAAGTGAATTTGAAAGTGTTTCTCAAATTGCTGCTTCCAACCGCTGCCCCGACGGCTTTCACAAAACAAGCTGCTTCTTTGAATGTAAAGTCCTCACTGAAACAGTGAATAACAGGAAAAGAGTAAGTCAGGCATCATGGGAACAGATAAGTGACAGAGTTTCGTAAGGTCTGTCTGTATTACACAGATGGGCACATACTAGGAAAGACAGAACTGTAAAAAACCATTCAGGGTTCCTAGGTACTTCGCAAACAATGTTTCCTTAACTTGCTCAATGAATTTTGCTACACTTGCCCAGTTACTATGGCATCTGAGCCCATGCAACAACACTCAACAGATCTTTATCGGTGGCTGGCAAACCACACTGAGCACACCGAAAATCCCCAGTTACACCGTCCTTCGTATCACTTCCTGTGAGATAAGTCTGAAGAACACATCTACGCATACAGTGTGTTTGTGTACAGACAGGCTTGCATAGCTCATGCAGTAGGATGACACCTGTCTGACATAACTCCTGGAACGTGACAAGCGTTGCATGGGACACTCCAGTGCTTTATAAACAAGCATGGACCAGAAGGATGCTTTAATGCTGAGAGAAGACTGGAGAGTCTCTTCAGAGATGAGATAGTCTCTTTGCTGTACACTGGGCAGGCAACTGAAAGTTCTTCCTTAAAACCTGTGTTTTGTTGTTTGTGATCTCTCCCTCCTTAAAGCTGATGCCTGTTGGACAAGGCTGGGAAGACAGGAGCAGTGGGTTTAAAGGAACTTGCTAAGATGGCACTGGCCAGTTCGCTTCCTAGCAAACCAGTACCACCGCACTCTGGAGAAGTTTCTGCAGCAAGGGTGGAAGCTCACCAGAGCAAGCTGGATTTCTTCTGCAAGCTGGGCTATGGTAAGCAGGACATCTGCAAAGTGCTGGAGAACCTGGGCCAAGAGGCCCTGGTGGATGATGTGCTGAAAGAGCTGATTCGGATGGGGAGCAGACCTCAAGCTCTGGAGAGCCAAGCTCAGCCTTCTGCACTAAAACTTCTTGCCCGGGGATCATCCAGCACTGCACCAGGGTCAAAGTGGCTCAGAGAAGGTGAAAGTGATTCTTCTGATTACTTGAGACCCATTGTGATTGACGGCAGCAATGTTGCAATGAGGTAAGCTGTGTTTCCTAAAAGGGATCCCTCTTACAGGTCTTTTCCAACCTAGCTGATTCTATGATTCTATTCCTGTGAAGTTCTGAATTTTAAGGGTGATGGCTTGAAGTATGCTTTCTTCAGGTGAGACGCGCACTGATGTATTTGACGTATAACGTATGAACAACCGCTTATTCCTGTTCTTTGGCTGAGGCACAGCTTCTAGGGACCTGCTGTCTCTCTGCCCATAAATACACAGGCCAGATGCAATCACTGGCTCACTCTGCACTTTGACCTTTCATAAGACAACAGCTAGCTAACCACTACTGTTTATTGCTGTACGATTCAGCAGCTCTCTCTCCCTTTTTGTTCACCTAAAAGGAATTCATGTTTCTCTGTCTTTTCAAACGGGTACCTAGGACTTCTAAACCCATATGTGGAGGTGTTTCCAGGGAAAACTGGTCAACAGCTAGAACAGCCTAAGTAACCTAAGAAGGAGAGGGAAAATAAAGATGGGTTACTGTGGTTCCTAACAACATCACGGTTGTACTGTTTTGACTTGCAAGTAAACCTCAGCAATGTTCCTGGATTGTATATTTTTTGTTGGGTTTTGGTTTGACTTCACTTTTATAGAAATATCAGGGAATTGATAGTTGATGTGTACTGAATAGTCTTGTTTCCTCCTTTATTAATTCTGTTCATGTTTCACAGCATCTCATCCTGGCCAATTACATTTCCTAAGGAGTGTTCTGATCCTGAAAGCACTCTTACTGGTGGAGAGCCTGGCACATCCATGCGGATAGGAAATCCAAAGACAGCAATGGGTTTCCCTCTGTTTATGTGCATAATATCAAGGGCCAGAGGCTGTGACAGTTGGGAGTCCAGGACGCACTGGCTATCTCAGTTTTTCCCTGTTAACTTCCCTGTCCACTCAGCAAGGCCAAGCCCGTCCCTGCAGGTTGGGACCGGGCAGGGGAGGGTTAGCTTTGGCATGAGGCGAGACCACATCCCTTCTGGTTAGAGGGCAAAGGTAGGCAGCACATCGAGAGCAACTGGAGACTAAGCAAATTATGCCATCTTCTGGATATAGGGAGAAATCCCACCCAAAACTGAGCGGTTCCTCGCTCAGTGCAGCTCATGGATGAGAAGTATGGAACAGAGCAGAATCGCTCAGTTTGGCTGGGCCAGGAGCTTGGTAGACATCTCTTATGATCTCCTGCCCCATTTGCATTTTCACCCTAGACCCTCCTTATGGTGTCCTTGTCTCTCTGCAAAAGAAGTGCCTGAGCTGAGCACCCACCTTCTCATAGTGTTAAGGGCAATAGTACCCCTGACCGGCCATGTGCTCCATTCTCTGGACACAGCCTTGTCCTCACAGATTTGCTGGGGCTTTTTTAGAGGTGAACAAAGGAGAGAACAGCATTGTTTCCATGGGAAAAGAAGATGTGCCCTTGCCACTGAGCAGGAGGCCCAGCATAGTTCGGTAGCTAACGAAACAGGGCATGTTTTGATCTTGGAATACTCTGGGAAAGCTCTGAGACCACCCTGCTGTGCCAGCCTGTGCACAGGAGCTTGCTGGACAGAGGTTATTTCAGACAAGCGTCATTACAGATGGCTTGAGCTAGCATGTTGTATTGCTGTCCCAGACCACATGCCCACCTGAATACTTTTTCAAGAAGCCACCCATGCTTCTGGCATGTAACATTGAAATCTTTTTGTATAATGATTTCTAAAATGTGAGTCTGAGAGAAGGCTGCCTGCTAGATGATTGAAGGCTGGTGTTCTGCTCTGAATTCTTCATCTTTCACCTAAAAGGAATTAGAAGAATGTGAAGTACTTTTGAGTTTCAGAAAGGCAAAGGTTTTGCAGCAGTTCTCAGACATCCCCAAACTCTGTCTTGATAAAGTTAGAGACTACTTTGAAGATGGAGAATTGAACCAATGCAGCCTGGAAAGAGCTGCTTTTCTCTCCTGAATGCCTTTCAAAGTGATGCTGAATGGCATTTTCTTTGGATAATGGGATAGGATTGGTGAGTGCTTTTGGTCTCCTCTCTTTAATGTTTCTGGCTTGCCTCTGTCAGACAGAGAAGGGACATTTGCAGAAGTCAGGGAAAAGGGATTTTAGGTTTCCTTGCTGGGAAAACATCATCATCATCAACACCAGCAATAGAAGTGAAGGAGAAGCATCAGTTTAGGGATGAGGCTGTCAAACAGTTGAAGCTTGGAGAGGCAGTTACCTGTGTGGAGGAAAATATCTCAGGCATTTGCATTTCTGCCTTACCAGGGTAATTAAACAAGTGAGTGAGTTGGTGGTCTCTGATCACTGATCAGCCTATCCATAGAAACTGAATGGAAAATAACCTTGCCTTCAGCCAGTCTCACTAGTCAAGCATCTCAGTACACTCTGTGTTTCCCTCAGATGTAATGAGAAGCTTACTTATCTCCTGCCTGTCCATGGGAAGCAGGCAGGATGGTTTAGCAAGCTTAGTGATACGTACGGTGTTTTCTTCCTGGGCCAGAGGAGTCCTGCCTTGGTCTCTCTCTCTTCAGCAAAGCTGTGTTGGATGCTGTGTCATAACCATATGGAAATGGTGCCATTTGCAGTTTCAAAGGGAGTTGTTTTGACTAAATATCTCTCCGAAGGGTCGGAATTGCACAATTTAAAAAGGAGTCACTGTGTGCTAATTATGGGTTAATCGCTGGAGTCACAGTGAAACCAAATTGCTGCTTCAGCTTCTGAAAGATGGGCCCTGCTGGTCTGTGACCTGAGTGCAATGTACCCTGTTGCTGGCAGGAGGGAGAGAGACGGGAGTGAGTTACACCAGATCAGTTATGGTCCATGGACTGTGGGTGTGTGTGGGAAAGGTGACTGACAGGAGCTAGTCTGTGTCAAGCAGCACAGACTCATGACACAGGGAGAATGTAAGATTTTGAAGCCCCTGCTCTATTGCACAGCAGACGTTGCTGTTCAGTTGTGTTGACCCTTCCATGCACCATCCCCGTACATACTATTTTAGATATACACTCCCCAGGTTTGGCTGTAGCAATGTAGCAGCAACTGGATTAACTGATAACACTGAGAAACAGTTCCAGGTGCCTCTTCTTGCTTGTTGTGCTTGGCATTTTGGGCAAATCGCTTGTGATTGAGCTCTTTACCTTCTGCACTGGGGGCATATCTAGATTTCCCTTCCTAAAGCTGACAGGGTTATACATATGAGTAGTCAATGTTGAAGCAGGCTGTTGCTGGATTTTGTTTGAGTAATGACACTGAAGATGTACCTAGACTTCCTTTTAATGGCAGTTACCTGAAAAAGTCACCAGAATTTCCAGTTCACCTCTCCAGGTGACTTTACACATATCCTGGGCAGATCCTATTCTTTAAAACCAAACACAACAGCTGTTCCAGAATGGATGTTAGATGTGTTGAGCACTTCAGACAGTTCATTATTGGTGAGAGTTTATTAAGACTTCCTATTGCCTGGGTATCTATTCATAACCCTGCCCCAGGTTCTTCCTCCAAACTGTATTGTTTTTCATTTGTGGTCACCATCTTAGCACTGAGCACTGAAACTTTTCTTAGTGTAAAATGGAGCTTTGGTTTTGAGATTGACGTAGGCAGAACCTAAAGATGAATTCCTGGGGGACAGTGGGAGAGGCATTTAGGACTGTGGCATCGACCTTGACTGGTCCATCGCTGCAGGTAGGTGTAGTAACCCAGTGAGTCATTTACAAGTCCATTTGCAGAGGTAAAAGCCTGAGTGAGACTGTGCTAATACTATCCAGCAAGCTCAAAGTACAAGGACGAGGTTTGTGTAGATACTGGGAGCGCATTTAATGCAATCACTATTGCATTACTATTATCCATTTTAGGACTTTGTGAAGAGTCTGGTTTTGTTTCTTTGTGCAGAAATGGTTAACAAATGCACCCTTACAAGTGCACTGCTCTGTAGCAAATTACAAGCAATAAGAACTTTCAAGATGAGGGAACTTAGGAAGGATACCGCCCCTAATTGTTTTTATTGAGGTTTTCTGTGTCTTGCTCTAGATACTGATGATTCTCCAGAAGCCACCTTGTCTGTGTCCTCTGCAGCACCTGTCCCAGGACTTTCCTACCTCTCTGTGCAATGAAGACAAAATCCACCAACTAGGGCAAGATAAACATGTGCCCAAGGTGCCTGTGGCTATCTCCACTGAGGTCTTGTCCCTTTTTTGGAGTCCTGGGTTAGAGTTTCTGCATTTCCCATCCTGCCTTTTATAGCTTTCCTTCCCCCATAGTTCGACTCCTGTTTCCAGATGAAGTTAGCAGTTGAATGGCTGTGATCACAATTGCAGCCTCTTCAGACATTAAAATCCCTGATGTCACTGTTACAACAGAAGAAAATACCCATGTTTTGTTTCATAAGAGATCCTCATGGTTTCTGCTTGTGCTGGAAGAACCTCTCGCTCCTCAAACCATTACTAGACAAGGCACGTGAAGGGTCTGACACAGCCCAATATCTTGCTGGTACTCTAGGCCCCAAGTCCATCCAAATACAGACGGAAGAAGCAGGCATGGGCAACAGGCTTGGGTAGCTGCAGGTCATAGATATGGGGGATAGGATACCTCTGTTTTTAAGCATCCACTTTTTCAGATAACAAGTATTTTGTTCTGCTGGAGGAAGTGTTTGGCTCTGTCCATCCAGGACACCCTGCCAGGTTGTTTCCTTGGAAACCGGTGAATGACTCACAAGCTGTTTGTTTTGCCTGTTCGTTAGTGGCTCAGTTAAAGAGAACTCAGCTTCTTGCAACTTTTGCCTCACCATCCTTTTCCTACTAAAAAATGGTTTTTATTATAGTCACGGAAACAAAGAGGTGTTCTCCTGCTGGGGGATCCAGCTGGCAGTGGATTGGTTTCGAGAGAGGGGGCACACGTACATCAAGGTTTTCGTCCCACTCTGGAGGAAGGAGCCCCCTCGCCAAGAGAGTCCCATTGCAGGTAGGTCCCCGTCCTGGGCATCATTTGGCAACCAGTAGGTGCAGTTTGGAGACAGGGGGTGTGAACAGTACAGTTCTGTCCCGTAGAGATAAGTGAAGTGCAAGTTGTGTATCAGGATTTTGTCACTTAAATTAGTCATTATTGCCTCACAGTCTTGGCTAGCAGATAAATCTGCTTACAAGGCTTTGTTATACGGCTTTGAACCTTTTGCTTTACAAGCACAAATTGCTGCCAGCTGAGTTAAAGGAGTCTGTCAGCTTGCAATGAGTCTGCAGAGCTTTTAAGGCCAGCCAGGAGACAATGATATGGTTGCACACATTATCCAAAGGTGGCAGTAGCCAAAGCATTCACTACTGCATTACTATTATCTGATGGAGAAGCTGCACAGGTTCCTCTTCCAGGAGAAAGAAATGCATCAGCTGAAGGCTGTGGAGGGTGGTGAAATTCAGTTTGTATGGAAAAAAATTTGCCAGCTTTGTGCCAGCGGTTTGGTGCCTTCAGATGAGGTGGCTGGAGATCCACCTTTCGGCATAGAGGAAAAATAGCAGAAGAATAAGTTTATTTTTTTATTTGTTCATTTTATCAGGCACATTTTACCTCTAAGTAAAGCTCATATTTGGACTGATTATGAGCTATGTAGCAGGGTAAATAGGACGCTACACTGGTTCAGAATGCCCCTGGTGTAGAATTCAAGCCATCCTTTACAGATAGACATCAAAAAAAGAGAGTGTCTCACATTTTAGAAGTAGGCTGTTTTGTAAAACCCCCTAATTTTCAAGTTGTCAAATAGTCACCAGGTATCAATGCATCTGAGAGTCACATCACTGTCAGTTGCCTACACTGCCAAAACTTCTTTAGATTCCTGCAGGTTTCTAGCATGTCTTTGAGAGCCGGTCACTGTTAGTTAATTAGTTTCTCTTGCTAATTTTTAATCCCCTTTGTTTCTGCTAACCATCCCACCAGATCAGCACATCCTTGAAGAGCTCGAGAAGCAATCGATCCTCGTGTACACCCCATCCCGGAAGGTGAAAGGCAAGAGGGTAGTTTGCTATGATGATCGCTATATAGTGAAAGTTGCTTATGAGAAAGATGGAGTCATTGTTTCCAATGACAATTACCGGGATCTCCAGAATGAAAACCCTGAGTGGAAATGGTTTATTGAGCAGCGACTACTCATGTACTCATTTGTCAGTAACAGGTAAGGGACAGCTGTTGTCAAACACTCTTGAATTTAAACATCATGGGCCAAGCCAGCTCCAACACCACTGCACCTCCCACCACTGGCAGAATACACAAGACTTTTTCTCAAGGAATTTACCATAACATATCTCATTTCTTTAGTTCCTCCTCCCTCAGCTCTGGTCTTAAACCCCCCATGTCATCCTTCAGTGAACTTCTATATTCAAATGGCAGCATTAGTGACCAGCTTTTCTTCTGTCTAATCCAACTGGGGTGTTAAACTAAGACTTGGTATCTTTCAATTTCTATTTCCTGTAAGAAACAGAATGAAACCTGTGAAAGGAAGCTGGCTATCTGGCAGTATTTCTAATTCCCTTAAAGGCAGAAGAGCACCTTTTCCTATGCCTTTGTAATCATAACTTTCTAGAAGAAGAGAAGTGAGAAGCTGGTCTCTCTGGCCTTTACCACCCCCACTGTGGAAGGTTTTCATTAAGGCACATGCACGCTGCCTGCAAAGCTGAGCTGTGTGCTCCTCAGTCTGTATGTACTGACCTTGTCTGAGTGTTCTAGTAGCACAGGTGTTCATTAGCCACCAGTTTGGCTGGGGAAGTACGCTCAGAGGCATCCATTGTGCATGGATGAGTGTGAGCAGAGAAGCCATCTTACACTGTGGCATTCTCTATGGGTCAGGATGGAGACTTGGCTTTCCTGCCACCAGAACTGGATGGCAGTGCTTGGCACTGGGTTTCAGTTTCCCTGTAACGCTGTTCACAGAAATGTAGCCACTGAACACCAGCATACTGTATCTCTCAAAGCTCCAGTCTATCATCTCCAGCTACCACCAGGCTTCTTCCCTAGTTACTAATGGGTTACAAATATTTATATGATATTTTCCTTCCTATTTCATAGTGATTGCCAGACCTTTTCAGAACTCTTCCCTCAGAAAGACTAGCTGTTACTGTGAAGCCCCTTTGAGTAGTTTCAGCAAGACCCTGCACAGCTTTGAGAACCCCTCTAAAACCACAGCCTGAAGTTGGAGGTTTCAGTCCCCTTCTGTGGATAACCAAATTCCCTGAGTGCCTCCTTTCCCTCCTGCCAGTGACTCCCTTCATCCAACAAAGGGGTTTTCCATGAGTGGGTGCACTGCAGATTCATTTGCAAACAAGTCTAGAGAAAACAACTAGTTTTCTTCCTGAAGCACCACATTCATGTACTGGCATAGAAGAATTATTAACAGTTTCATCTGAGCATTTTGCAGGCCTTGTAGTGGGAAGCCTTTACTGAACCTTTGAAAAAGGCTGGGCTAGTTTATCACAAGTGACCAGCTGTAGCTCTGGATTAACTTCTGGCTTTTTAATCCTCATTCTCCTACAAGTATTTAGTAAGAGCAAAGTGAGTTTGCTGTGGAAAGGAGCTGATGGTGAGGACTGAGGCGCTGGGACCACAGAGGAGTTTGCTGCTGCTGCTTCAGAGAAGAAGGATGCTGCCACAGCCAGGGCTTCTGGCTGGCCAGAGCCACACCAAGCTGCTGTGCCTTTCCAGTTCTTTTGTGTTATGAGGGAAAACCAACAGCTACATGAAGGTGAAGAACTGATGTCTTGTCAGGCATGACGGCTGTGCATAGGAACAGAGCTTGGCTCCTGAAAGCCAGGCCACAAAAGGATCACGAGGATTTTCTACCCTAAGCTTGAGCTGTGGTGGCACTTTAGCTCCTAAAGCTAAAAAGGTGTTTCTGTTACTCCTGTGGCTTTTTCCTTTTTCAGGTTTATGCCTCCTGATGACCCGTTAGGCCGGCATGGACCTACACTTAATAACTTCCTCAGCAAAAAGCCAGTGCTTCCTGAACCAAAATGGCAGCCTTGCCCCTATGGTGGGTTTCTCCTCATGCTGTAAACCCCTCTTCCTCTTGCCATTTGCTTCCCAGCAGTGCTTTCCTTCGGCTAAGGTCCCCCACCATTATCATGTGCTGTCCTGCTTCTTGTGGTAGGGACTGGGTCAGGGCTGCACAAACGTGTGATGCTTTTTTTCCCTCTCCTGCTGAAGTGGTTTCAGCCCCAGCAAAGGCAGCAGCTCTGGTTCCCATCCTTGCCTGCACACAGCACCCAAACCAGGCGCTGCAGCTGTGCTGATGCCCCAGCCTGCACGCAGGTTTCACTTTGCAGAGTGGACTTGTGTCATGGCACTGGGGAAAGGCCATCCAAACACTTTCCCCTTTCCCCTTCCAACAGCTTTCCAGTAATGCACAGGTTTTTCAGAGGTAAATCCCTATACATGTCCTTTTTTAAAGCAGCCCTTTGTAGCAGCAGGTCTCCCAGCCCACTGAGAGCAGCAACAGGAGCATAAATGAATTTCAGACACTTCCAAAATAGCAGAAACTTGCTTTCACTCTTGCTTCCCCTTGCTATTTTGGACAGCAGTATGTAAATCTGGGGTCAGAAGTTCTGAACCGGAAAACAGCTACTTCCCTTCTGCTGTTTGTGCTCCCCATACCCCTGCAAATATGTAGTGCTGGGAAGAAGCGATGAGTATATCAACTGATATGGGAGCTAGTGACAACCTCCTGTTCTGATATTTTTATTCTTTCAGGTAAAAAGTGCACCTATGGCAATAAATGCAAATTTTACCACCCAGAGAGACTGCACCAAGCTCAGCTCACAGTTGCTGATGAGCTCAGGGCTAAAATAAATGTCCCGTTAAGCATGGGCAAAGAGGAAGAGCCATATAGGACTGGAGGAGAGTCTGTGCCCTGTGGTGCCTGTACAGAAACCCTGCGAGAAGGTAGTGGCTGCACAGGAGCTTCCTGTTATTCAGGATGGTCCCAAGGGAGATGTCCTGAGCAGCTTTCCAGTGGCTGGGGCAGCAGCTCTGGCTCTGACTTGTGTCTGGACCAGCGCTTGCTGCAGCCAGAGCCGTGGCAAGACCATCCACTCCTGGAGAAGATGTCAGCACTATCCATTGGTGATGACACCTATGGCTACAGCTGGTCCATACATACACATCAGGACAGAGGAGTGATGGACAGCCCTCACCAGTTCAGCAACCTCAGGGACAACCCATACACGCTTCATCACTCCCATAGCTTGGACCACACCAGCTTACCGGGATGCCCTTTCCAGCAAACGGTGCTCCCTCCGGTGTCGAGCGGGATGTGCCCAGATCACAGCTGGCCGCAGGAGGGCTGCAGCACCCACAGGATCAGTCAGAGGAGCCGCTATGCCCCTGATGGTGCTCAGCACCACATTTTGCCACAGTCTTCAGCTCTTCCTGCTGACCTGCCTCACTCTTACAGTGAGCATCACCTGCAGCAGCAGGAGCATCGCTTCCGCAGCCGGCCCCCACAGCAGCCCTTCATGTTAGACTCCAGAAATGGCCTGGGCTTCTACCAGAAAACCTATGCATACCCCGATACCTCTTACAGTGACCACTGGCCCACTCCAGCTGTAAGGCCACCCTCTGCCCAGCAACCAAACACACACAGGGAGCTGTGCTCCCTTTTCCCTTACAGTGATGTAAACCATGTCATGGCTTTGTACCCCAATATTGAGGATATTGCTATACTGACTTTATTGATTCAAAGACACAGAAGTTTGTGAAGCCTCCAGATCAAACCTTTCCTGACAATCACAAGTCCCGGGGAAATAATGTGCTACTCTGAGGCTTAACCAAGTGTTATGAAAGGGCTTTATGGCAAACACCGTAGCTGCTCTGGGAGCACAGGTCTAAGCATCAACCAGCTATGTCACATGGGGCACCAAGTCAAGACACAGGCTGCCATTCACCACAGTGGGAGCTTCATTCCCCTCCCTGTCAGCATTTGAACCTCAGTAGTGACTGGGTTCAGGATGGCAGAGATCTTTGTTGATGCCTTGAAAGAATAGACATGTTTTAAAAACCCTAAGCCTATTGCTCAGCTATTGTAAAAGAGCCATGCTCCATGTGAAGGGCTCTGCACTGACCTCCCATGCCTACTTGCTCAGCTATAGGCAAAAAATAATTTGGCCCATTTCCCCGGACACAGGGCTGTGCTCCCTGCTAGAAGGAGCCTTTCAATCCGTATCACTGGCTGTATCAGTGAGCTTTCAAAGGCACATCTCGCGTTTATAAACCAAAGCAGTGAACACACAGAGTCTCTAGCGGAGGCATGAAGGCACAGCAGAGAAGCTGCAGGTACCTTTCTCAGGGATCGCATATGATAGAAGTCAAATCAGGGAAGTCATCTCCAGTATAAGTCCTGATGTGGACCGAGAGCTTGGGGTTGTTAATTAAAAAAGGAGGCACAGATGATGCCAAAGAGACTGGGGGGGGGGGAGAGCTTTGAAGTGTCTCTGTTGTATTGAAAAAATCCTGTTATTGACTTAACCCTTAATTACCGAACATGGTCCCATAATGCAACTGTACAGCTGATTTATGATTGCAAACATTTAAACTGTGCTCTGCTGGGACATGTTTGATCCTCAGTAAATTGTAAAACTGCTAATCTCTGCATTATTCCACTGAACTCTTCAGGTTATAATTCAAAGATTAAGGTTGAAGCTGAAGGGCGTTAGCATTATACCAAAGTTCAAGTATGTCAGTATGACATGTTTTAGAAACGCTTTAACACATCATAAAGTGGTCACCTACAACTCTTTGTTCCAAGTAACATTGTCTTTTTTCCTTTGTATTTTATTTTTCCATTACTCTCAGCACTGATGCTTCACCAGTTCCAGCATTCAGGTGGGATTCACAAATGCTCTGACCCGGTGCTGTTTCTGTCAGGTATTTGTTGATCTCAAGCAAGAGTCAAACGTGGCCCTCACTGACACCACTGAATTCTTTTGTTTTCAAAGAAGTGACCTTTAGTGACATCATCACATGATGCATGATTTGGAAGTGGTGACAGTTCGACCCGTTTCCTTCTGGAAAGCACCAGAAGCTTTTCTTGGTTAGTGTTGTTTAAAGAATGTTCAGGAAATAAGCACATTGTATCAGTTTGATCATCTATGGCCACATGGTTGGCTCCAAGAAATCCTAACCATGGGGCTGGGGGTATGATCTGTCTTCACAGAGCAGAACAGTTTTTTCCACATGTAATGAATTATCCACTAGTTACTGTCACAATATAGATAACTGTCTGTCCTGGGCTCAGCAGTAGCAGTCATTTTTCTTGTTCTTAGTAGCTGGTGCAGGGCTGTGTGTTTGACTTTAGCCTGAGAACGACGTTGACAGCAACAACTAAAAACATTGGTTTGTTAAGTAATGCTTACTCTGATCAAGGACTTTTCAGTCTCATGCTCTGCCAGTGAGAAGGGGCACAAGAAGCCAGGAGGAAGCAGAGACAGGACACCTGACCCAAACTAGCCAAAGGGATATTCCATACCACAGCATGTCATGCCCAGTATATAAACTGGAAGGAGATACCCAGAAGGCCCAGACTGCTGCTCGCATCAGGCTGGTTATCAGTCGGCAGGTGGCGAGCAATTGTGCCATCACCCCTACACTTTGAATCATGTAATGGGAATTATTAACAATTACACTTCTCTCTTTCTCCCCCTATGGAGGAGACATTCCCTCACAGCCTCTGCTCCCCCACCAGGCTCTTTGAGAATTTTAAAGATTCTGAGTATCCTTTGAGTATCCTTGAAACCAGCCTGCTCCTTTTGCTGGGAGCCCCTGTTCTGTTGAATATGGTTCAGGTTAAACAATGACCTAAGAATACCACCAAGAGAACTTCCCTGAGACAGGACAGTCACGAGTGGCAGGGTGTGTGGAGTGGCATGGGCAAGTACCTCAGCCAATGGGCCCCACCAGTGCTTTGGAACTTCCCCCCTGTACAAGATCCAGAAAAGCTAGTAAAACGTGGAAAAAGTATGTGGTCATCCTGGCACTACCAGAGAGGTACAAATAACTGCAATGAGCGCTGGCCTGGACTACAATGGAGAGCCCTGCTCAACACTATCAGAAAAAGACGTGTCTGGATCTGATGGCAAAGCAACAGACAACGTGGCTACTCTGTCCCCACCAATCAGCATAGCAGCTACTCCAACTCTGATAACAGACACTGCAGACACTCCAACCCCTGCAGCAGCCACTGCAGCTGAACCAAAGGACCAGTCCATGCCTGTCATTTGCTCCTATATACAAAAGAAATGGAAATGAAAAGCAACTCACGTAGTGAAGGAAGATGAAGAAGACGCAATGCCAGAATTAGAGGGGGCAACATCAGTACGAGAGGAATTAATTCAAGAAAGAGAGGAAGAGGCAGAACAAGAGATAATTTCCCTATCCCAGTCCTTGGCTAAGCTGTGGAATATGTGAAAAGATTTCATCCATCTTCCAAGTGAATAGCTTCCAGAATAGCTTGTAAGTTTATCCACCTCATATTACATGAAGATTAGAAATGACATTATAAAACAAAACTATGGAATAAATGTCCTGTGAAATGCTTTGAAAAATTCTTGAGTTCTACAGGCATTATTAGTTGTGCTGAAATATGCCACGCAACACACTTCACACACTGAAGCAACCATCTCATGGGGTTAAGTGCCTGTACTGTACCTATGCAAGGCCAGGCTCATTGGCTTGCCTACCAACCTGTACCAGAGCTTTCCCAACTACTGCTATACACATATATGCTGCTGTACACATATGTACAATCACAGAGCAAGTGTGATGCAGAGTGGAAAAAGATCTTCCACATACTTGAACACAGCAAATCCAAAATGACAGCACTCAGAAAATACACACGTAGCAACAGAGCAGGATATAACTGTACTTGTCAACATTTGTTTTCACGTCTGGAATAATGTTACATATTTCAGTGCAAAAGGCATTTAAAATCTATAGGAAAATTGGCATTCTGCCTTTATATAGTGCCCTCGGCTTGCTGGAGACGTGCATCAGCTTTTCTGCTTTTCCTTTGAGGATGCACAGGAATTTGGTGGTTGGTCAAAATTCTCTCTTGATGCTTTATAACTTATTTTTCTTTCATTTCTGTCTTATTTACTGGGGACTCTTTCAGCAAAACACACAGAACGTGCATTCTGCTGAGAAAGTGGCTGAGAAAACAAATCAGACTTTGGCACTAAGTAGAACTTAATTTCTCTTGGCTCTTCTGCTCACCAGAGGGTTGTTTCTCACGGAGCTTTTGTCCGAAGGGCAGCTCAGCAGTGGTGCTGTGTCACTGCCTGCTTGAGAGGAGCTCTGCTGCTGGCCAAGAGCCCATGGAAAGCGCTGACTGTTCCATTATTTCACCACAGCACAAGTATCTGGGGCTCAGAATTCCTGCTGCAGCGCCTCTTACTCTTTCCAAGACAGGAGGATCTTTTTGGCTGCGTCAGCTCCTGGGGTAGGGGAAGGGGCTACTAATGGGAAGGAGGAGGAGGCAGCTCTTGCCAGGGTGTTCAGACGGGGTGGGAGGCTGTTGCTATTTGGTGTCTCTGCTGAGATGCGTTTGAGTCCAGCTCTCGCTGCCAAGTTGAAAATGAATCCATAAATCCCAACAGGCTTGGACAGCCCTTGATGTTCTCTACTTTTTGGTTGTCAAGACTTTTATAAGCAGCTGGAAGCAGTGAGAGCAATCCTCCAGGAGACAGCTTTCCTAAGGGAGAGCTACAGAGTTGCCAAGTTCATTTGAAAATAATAATAATTAAAAAAAGAGTCATAAATAAAGAATCCTCTTCCCTTCTCTCACCCTTTCCCAAGAAGCTTGGACGGAACAGACACCCTGCTCTGTGAGGGGCTGGGGAAGCTAGAGACAAATATGTCGCTGAAAACCCTTGGGTAGAAGTCACCCCTGCAACAGCTCCTCAGCATAAGAAGGGGAAGAGGGTGGTCCTCTGCTCCCCATGCAGTCCAGGCAGCCCAATATACCTCCTTCCCACATCCTCTTAAATGCAGAAATCTTCCTCTCGCAGAACACTCATGACAAGTCCACTAATTTGTGAGCTTAGATACCATGACGATTATTAATAATAAGACTGTCTATGAAGCAGATAATAAACGTGTTCTGTATCAAAGAGTGTTTGCCAATTATTCTTAGAAGTTTTGCTAATATTTTAACTCACTTCCTACAAGAGTTGACACAATTTATAAGCAAACATTCAAACTAATCACAAACAACTGAGGAGAACAAGACAGGTTTCATGGCTTCTCTCCTCCTTAAAAATGTTGGCTTGCTAGTTAAGAACCCAGCAAGTCCTGTCCTTCACCAAGTATGACAGACCACCTCAAACCCCAAAGCCTCTGGTGAAAGCCTTTAACAGACAGACTGCTTGTTGAACACAGGTCATTCAACTCATCCACTCTGCCACAACAATTCTTTTGCTTCTCTGCATCAGGGTATGTTTGTGCCGAGTGGTGAGGAACTGGCACAGGCTGCCCAAGGAAGTCATGAATGCTCCATCCCTGGCAGTGCTCAAGGCCAGGTTGGACAGAGCCTTGGGCAACATGATCTAGTGTGAGGTGCCCCTGCCCATGGCAGGGGGGTTGGAACTTGATGATCTTAAGGTCCTTTTCAACCCAAACCATCCAATGATTCTACACATGCAAGACTTCTGTAGTATTTACTTCCTAGGGGCTATCGGGACTGGGATGCTTTGAACTTTTAGACAAGAATAGTTTAATATTACAGCACCACTTGTCATTAGCATTATTAAGGAAGCAGTGCAATTCACAGTCTATAGTGAAGGGATTTTTACAACATTTCAGCCAAATATATTCCTTCTCTGTCCCAAGTTGGAATCACTGCCTTGAAGTCTTGCAGCAGGCTCAGAGGAACTCTTGAGTAAGATGTAGTAAGATGCTGACTTGGCAAATGCAGTCAAAATAGACATACAAATGAAGCAAAGCTGTGAACACAGCAATCTGTGAGGACAGCACATGCAAGGCAGCAAGCCAGAAAGTTAGGACAACGTATGCAGGGCTGGCGGGCCTTTGAATGGGGAAAGGAAATTGGATGATGTGCCTCTGCCAATGAGTGCTGGCATCAGAATTGCTCACCATAACCAGCTCCTCCTCCTTCACCATTCCTTTGTGTCACACGGTTTCCTCAGCCTCCCTAATTTCTACACATTTCCCCCCCCCCCCCAGTCTTGCTGTGCCATGCACTGCTCCCACTCAAGCCCAGCGAGGATCCTGTCTCTCCCTTCCCTGCTCTCAAGCTGAAGAGGTTTTTAGGAGTTCCTTTTGTAAAATTTCTTATAGTTTCTTGGTTTACTTCTTTTAAAAAAAGAAAAAAAGTTTTGGTTTTTGTTGTTTTTAAAACCACAAGGGAGATACCTTCAGCCTGGCAGAGATCTGGTATCCTTGGGCTGTTCTTCCATGGCACATTAAAGAAGCCTTCTTACCAAAGCTGACTTCATACAGCTTTTTCCACTCGCCAAGGATCAAATGGGATGCTAGCAGAAACTCAGCCAACACATGCTCTGAACTACCTTAAATCCTACTGCAAAAAGCAATGAGCATCCTTCACCTACCATCCCCAGGACTGTACATTTGAGGCAGTTACTCACACTACTGGCTTCATACAGGAGACAAATAGGCATTCGAACACCGAATGGCAAAACAAGACCATAAACTAGAAGCAGGCAGCAAAACATGGATGGCATAAAAACCAGACAAATGAGTGGAAATACATTTTCTCATAGAAGACCAAAAAGGCACTAAATAAGATTAAAGAAACATAGACCTGGCAGAAGCAAGTATGCTGTATGTTACACATGGTATAATAAACTTTGGAAGCTTACTGCTGTGCAAAGTTAGACTGACAAAGATGGATG